AAAAACAAAAAAAACATGCAAAATAAAAAATTAATTTGAATAAAACGAACTTAATGAATTCTACTAGATAGAGCATGCAAGATAAAGAACTATTTCAACTACTGGGTCATCTTTGTCTTCTCCAACGTCGATCTGAAACAGATACGGTGGCAAACAGATCAATAAAGAGCAATTAAAATTAATTATATCAAGTATCCTCACCTTAATTAATTATAGAACATAACATGCCAATGTTTACAGGTGTGAAAAGTAAACCAACTCCAGGAGGAATACTATAGCAAAGAATTTCTTATTTCAGTGGAATTCAAATTAAAAATTTTGTCAATTTAATTCATGCTGTGGGTAAATACGAAGAATAATAATAGAATATGAATCAATCAAACTAACCTTTCAGACGTAGAACAAATTAAAACTAATTTTGCAAAAAAATTAGCTCGATAAGTTGAATTTAAGAGACGCGAAAACACGTCCTTCCACATCGAAACTTTATGAACTTATGATGTGCCAAACGCCTCTCAGGCTTGTCGCGAATTTGCGATTGCTACCACATGAAGCACTGATGACGTAGACAAACGCCAATCAGATGCGTTAAATTCGATGTCTGCGACGCTATAACCAATCGCGTGCTTAGTTTCACCCCCGTTTTACAGAATTCAATTTATCTGGGTTTTTGCTTCGTACAAGTTCCATCGCCTGATCAACCCAGTTGCACTCGCTCATGGGTCGAAAATTAACTGCATGATGTTACAAGGCGAAGACGAAACAGCAAATCAAGAATACAATCCAGGAGAGACCACACCAATGTAGAGGTGGGCTGTTTCAGTATAACCAAACTGAACATTAATTCTCTCTCATTTATTGTATAACCTGCAGAACTGGACAAAAAAACATATTAATTACACTTATAATTAAGAAACACAAATAAAATCGCACCAAAAAGCAAGTAAAATAGCTAAATTAAAAAATAAACAAACATCTTTATGCCATTATACATTACAACCATAGATCACGACATAAATTAACGTCAATTTACGACATAAACTAACGTCAATTTACGACATAAACAGAAGTGTTAAAAGAAAATCCATAGATAGATAAGCTTCATATATAAACTCTATAGATACATGATATCAATTTATTCTGTGGAAAACAAAAACTATTGTGATATTAATGCACATTAACCTCAATTTATACTGTTGACAATAGCTAATTGTTAACAGAAATTCCATAACAGATTAATAAAGAGTAAATCATATTGATCAAGTTATGTATTCTCACCTTAATTAATTGTAGAAAGTGGGGTTCTAAAGTCTACCAGTGTGATGAGCAAATCAACCAAATCTAGGAGGGATACTACCGCAAATAATTTGTTGTTCCGGTTGCATCCAAATTAATTAATTAGTAACTAATTTATTTAATAGATATCTGTTACGCAAAAAATTTACTCTTTTTCACTTTTCTCCCTTACTCTCAAATAAGTCAAAATATATGCGGAAAATTGATAAAAANTAACAATGTATCGTGCACATTATTTACTTAATACTTAATTAATTATATCTGAACACTTTTTCATAAGATTTCATTTAACAGGAACATTAGAAGAACTCCGGATACATTTAAATTATGAAATTATGGAGTATTGGTTGAATTAGTTCTCATTTGCCCTGCAAAATAGCTGTGCCCATGGTTCTAAAGAAAGCATGAAAGTGTCTTTTTTTCATTGGGAACGAAGACAGTGTGCTGAAAAAGGATTTATGACAATGAACTGGTATGTAACAGTATCAGTTAAAAATAGTAAATGATATCTTTAGATAACTTCAATTTCTTTGACATTTGTAATTTGTTTCAGTAGACAACTTTTAAACAACGTTTTCAGGAAGACAGAAGCAGAATTAATGTGGAACAGATCTTTCCATTAGTGTGCATGTTACTGATTTATTCGATTTAAAAATGGTAATTAATTACTTTTTCTTGCCTGTTTCTATATAGATTGCTGTCCCACAAATGAGAAGGAATTGCAGTTAATTTTGGTGCTACTAAAACAACTGATGCTTTTGACGTCTTCACCTTGCAACATTATGCAGTTAATTTTTGCCGTAACAATGGGAGGCAATTGGAAATTAATTAATTTGGATGCAACCGAAACAA